ATCTATCTATCTATCTATCTATCTATCTATCTATCTATCTATCTATCTATCTATCTATCTATCTATCTATCTATCTATCTATCTATCTATCTTAAAGCACTTTAAAAAAAGAAAAATCAACTGCACCAAAGTGCTGCACAGCAATCATAAAAAAATGAGTTTTCAGAATAGATTTGAAGTGTTCCAGACTGTGGCCAGATCTATTATTGAATGATAAGTTGTTCCACAAATTGAGAGCAGTGACAGCAAATGCCCGGTCTCCTCTGCTCTTCAGTCTGGTTCTGGGAATGTGTAAAAGCAGTTTATTATTTGACTGAAGTGTTCTAGAAGAATAGTCGTGCAGAAGATCCTGAAGATAAGCTGGGGACAAGACATTTATAGCTTTAAAGGGGACCTAATATGCAAAATTCACTTTTTTCAGTTTATTTTTTATTTTTTTAACATACATTTGGGTCTGCACTGCTTCTAAAAACAGTCCAAGCACACAAAAAAATGCACCCAGAGGTATTTTACTATAAGTAAATGTATTTTTCTGTCTTGGAATTACCTGCTTTTAAATACCTACTTGTGATATCACAAGTCGCACTCCAACCCACCCCAACCTGTCGTCGTATTGCGCCTCGCGCTCGTATTCCTAAACAAAAGCAGCTCTCTCCAGGTGGAAATTTGCTGTCAATCAATCCAAGAGTTAAGCCACGGGCAGAATTCAGCTGACAGCAAAATCATGAGCGTGCTGTACTCGCTTCTACCTGAAGCGAGGGGAGGATCTGAAGGGCTTGACACACGGGCAACGACAAACTACAGCGATTAACGGCTGTCATCGTAGCCGGGGTGAAACCCGACACACGGGACGCGATAGCGATCACAGCGTTGCGAATCGCGCTCTCATATCGCTTGTCTTCACGAAATTTGATTGGTTCTTGACTCTGAAGGTGGGTGTGCATTACGGACGTGTAAACTAAACAAATCTTGTGATGCTAATGATATTGAAAAACAAACACATCAAGATACAGTTTTATGAGGAAAAACTTACCATAAACTTCACCCTGGTGCCAATAAATTCCCACAAAGCTTTAGTAATCACTTGGTGAAAGTGTTAGCTAACTGCAGTGTGTAGCATACTCTCCTGAACAGGGTTTCTGTACCATCCTTATTCATGACAGTATTATTTAAGGGACCAGAAATCCATAATGCATTGCACAACAAAAAAACAACCACTGAGTTATACAAAGCAAGCGGTAAAAGTCAAACTAGCAAAACACGTACCATGGATGAGAGCAAGTAAAACTAACTAATAAAACTTATTGCAAACAGGCAGTTTATAAACATACTTTTTTGCGTTTATGGAAAGCCATTACCATATTTGCAGTGGTGGACACAGTTCCGCTAAAGCACTAATAGGGGAACTAATTTCCTGATTAGTGCTTTAGGGCTTTTGCTAATTTTAAAGGGATCCTTGATTAGTTGTAGCATTAGACTTTGTTTGATGTTTTAACTATAAAATAAAGACTGTGAAAACACTATAGGCTGTTTAGTTTTGTACTTTTTTAAAAACATTTTAACACAGACTGAGCCATTTTATTTACATGCAAAGCATTCTGGGTAAATGATGATGTGGATAGGTCATCGGCGTGAGCGAGCTATATCCACCCTGAAGGTTAATCTTGGACAATATCTGATGATCGACTCTTTTAAATGAAACCAGAGAGCGTTGACAGAGAGGAGAAG